TTTTTTAAAATTACTGTTAATATAAATTTATTTTATTTATATATCAAGAAATAAAAGAATTTGTAAAATTTAAACTATTTTAAATTACATTTAAGTTATAAATTATAACCAGTGACGTTGAGGAAGAATTCAGGGAAAACAATATTTTTTGTTTGAGACATTTTTATTTATTTCACATTATGCATAAACATCGAGGTGTAATTATTTAAACTGGTGTAATCTTAAATAAAATTAGGGACTCCGTTTTTAACACTGGTTATAATTTGATCTCTAATAAAAATCTAAATTGGCGTTAGATGCAACAGCAGCATAAATATCGTTTAGATTTATAATTAATTGATTTTTCTTTTTAAAAAAATTACGAATAATGAAATAATTATTTATTTAATATTGTTAAATAAGTAAAATTGAAATTATACAATGTAAAAATTACGTTAAAATCATTTTAAGAAATCATGATCGGTTTCGCCGGTTACATTTCATGCTTCTTTACTTACAACAACTCAGTATCGGCTGAGCTTTACACCGTAGGTTGCACGTATTTTTGGTATCGTTTGATCAAAAATAAATTCAGATGCGCATCACATTAACAGCCTGGCACATTTACAAAATTTCATCGGTACGCCCGACCATATGCTAATAAACTAGCAGTTGCATCTAAAGTCAAGCACAACGTTCGCTTTCATCCTTTGTGTTTCGCATCATCCACGACGCTGGAAACATACAGAGTATCCCAGATAAGTGTATAATACAGCGAAAATTCATAATGCGTAAATTCTTTTTTCGTCAGAAATTTAATTATTTATATTTCATTTACTGATTTAGATCTCAAAACTATCGAGTGTATATTTTTACCAAGAGAAAAAATTGTTGCAATTATCATAATTCAACTATAATTTATAGTCATTTTTTGGGACAACGTAACTAAAATAATTATAAGTTTTGCGAAAATAAGACACAATAAAGAAAAGATATACTTTAAAGGTATATTTTTATTCCTCTACAATCAGTTATTACATCAAAATTGCATTTCAAAATTAAAAAATTTTTAATTATTTAAAACATTCAAATTTATTTTTTAGAAACTTTTATTTTTTTTTACTGGTGTAAAATATTATCTATTCTTATCGATGTGATTCAAAAAATTACAGCAATTGCGAGTCGACTTTCACTATAGAAAGATCAAATCAAATTTTTTCAAACAGCTGGCGTATTCGCTTTCCGGGATATCCTGCAGGCTTAGACTAATATTTTTATTTACTTTCGTCACAATCGACAATTTATTGATGTCATTAATTCACATCTTTCCATCTTCTTTCTCTGTTCTATTCTTATGCAGCCGTATAAATTTACTAGTCAGCAACCGGGCGATTACTGTCAGCTTTATTATATTGCGGACGCATTATTCAAGAGAACACGCAACATCTTTCGTAAGTCATCTCCGCGTCATCTGTGTCGATGCAAGACGTGAAACGACGATACGTATGAGTATGCATGCGTATATATGATCTAGGAAGTAGGAATCAATAAAGCAAAAGTTTCTCGCGCAACATCGAGGCCAATCGAGATCGGACGAAATGAGAAGCCCGTCGAGAAGCCGACGCGTTGCGATCCGTCGATCCTCGTCGATGATCATCGTAGCAAACACAACATATTATACAGTAATCACACAAGGCTCCCCGCGCAAAGTCAACGTATACTTAGGAAACCAAACAATTTATTCAGCAAAATGATACATCAAATAGGAGAGACATAATTCAGAGACTAACTACACAGTTGCAGGCAAGACAGTAAAAATCTATTCACGCAAAAGGATGACATTGAAATTCGAATAAAAACTGTTAGAATGTGAAGGCCTCATTCTCGCTGTGTAAACCAGGAGCGTAAAGCTTTAATTTCAATTTCAAGAGGAGGCCGACAAGTGACCGATTATTCATTCGTTGAATCTCTTGCTGCGTTTTTCTCTTCTTCGTACAATTTTTCTAAATCTAAGTTTATAAATTCCTTCACACGAATAAATCAATCTAAATTAATATCTAGCAATATCTAGTAAATTAACTGTCAAATATTATTGAGTTTATTTTAGATTTTAATTATTTTATTTTATTACTAAATTTATTTCCGCTGTTGCGGAACAATAAATACTCTTTATATGTTAGAATTCTGGGAAAACTCTAGTTTATATTAAAGATAAATATCTTATTATGGGTACTATTTCTCTGCATCAATATGTACACTTTCTGCATCTCCTTCTCGTTAACATAAAATCTCATTTATTAAATCCTGGACAACGATCGTCCCGTTCACATCCTAATCTCGAGCTCTGCATCGCGATCCTCCTGTCACATTATACATCGAGAATCGCGATACCGAATCGAATAATCAGTTGATAACACCTCGCCACGAGGCAGATCATGCGAGTCGTGGGAATTGGAGTAAAGGGTGTGGGATTAGAAGAGGGATGAGGATAAGGGGGTTGGACAAGAGTTTTTCTCAAGTATTTTTCATTTGCACAACGAATCTATTCAGCGAGCTCCGACAATCTCTCGAGGAGGGTCTGGGAGAGAAAGTCTTTTTACAACACTCCTTCAAAACCATTTTGGAAAACGACTGAACAGGTTACCGATGTCGCTACGGCGCGC